GCTTTCATTTTTCAATGATTTCGCTTTTTATTTTTGTTGGCGTGGGGAAAGGTGTAGGATGGGGAGAAGAGGATTATCAAAATTTTGTTTTTTTCTAGTATAGTGAATAAACCTTAACTCTTTTATTTACTGCCTTTTTCTTCTTAATGGCAGGTTATGTTTCGAATTATAACTCGTATGAAATGCTGAGATATTTGCAAAACTCCGGACCGCAGGTGTACGCGGTCCGGAGTTTTGCAAATATCTCAGCATTTCATACGAGTTATAATTAATAAAGTTCAGAAGTGTCCAGTGGTGGTCAGTATCTCTTAGGAATCCGTCCAAGCTATGCATTCGATCCCATTCGTATCGTCGCGGAGATCATGCAATGCATATACCCTTTCCGGTTCCGAAGAAGGCGTTACTGCCGAAACGTCAGCTTTACCGGAATAACGAATAAAGTAATATCAAGTGTTTGCTCAACAAGATTATAGAGAATTCATTGCACAGTTAGCTACTATAACGACTTTCAGTGCCCTACAAAAGTACGAAATCACCACTGCCGTTCTTTCAGAGAACTCTCTCATAAATTTTGCATGCCTCAGAAGAAAGACGTGCTCGGTTAGCCGAAGGCGCCAGATTGAACCAACGACCAAATTTGCATTGTAGGGAATTTCTAACCATTGAGCTTAACGCACACTTCGCACTCCCATACGTATTTCTGCAATACTTAATGATAATAAATGATGATAGTAATAGAAGCACCCTATCCCAAATTCTTAATAATTGAATTAACGATCCACTGTAATCACAGATTTAAACGAGTTTCCCGAATCAGGTTCTTTTTAGGTCTTGGAATATTTCCTTTTAATCGTATGACGTCACTGTGATCTGGATACTGTCACGTCGGATAGCCGCGTCAAATCTGAGTAAGTGTTTCTTTTATAGCATGATGACATCCTATCTATTTGAGTTTAGTTGTAAATCTGGGAAAAGTGGCGGCTTAGAAAGTGTCTTTCGTCAGCGTCAGAACATTCAGAGCATTTACCGCACTTTTTCCGTTACACATTTCCCATTACAAACAGGACATCTACTTTTGTCAGGTTTTTTGACTTTTCCTACGCTTATCTTATTGATTATAATTTTATTCTTTTTACGATTTTCGTTTTTTTGAGAAGCTTTTCCACGTATTATTGATGTGCGCACTATTTATTTTATTTATTTATATTAGTGTTTTTTTAAAAGTAAGTTTTAAGTAAGCTACAAGTTTTATAAGCACAAATTTATTATTTTTCTATAGTATATGAACCCATAGTGTATTATTACTTAAAACTTACTTTCATAAAAATACTTATATAAACAAATAAAATAAATGTTACCCAATCAATAATACGTAGAAAAGCCTCTCAAAAAAACGAAAATCTAAAAAAGAATAAAATTATAATCAATAAGATAATCATAGGAAAAGTCAAAAAATCTGACAAAAATAGATGATCTACGAAGTTCATGTGAAAATTATTTTCAGTGACTTGTTGGAAACTTTTTTTAAAGATGTATGAAAATGAAGGTAAGGATATCCTCAGCATCTTCCTGGGGCTCATAGTAGCCCATAGGTCTTTTTTCCACAAAATTGAGGTGAGAATAATGGTGTGGTTCATTATCGCTCGGTGGTCGGGTGGCGAACTGACCGTACGCATGATTGATCGTCGCCGGTGACGACATTAATGTGTCCGTTCCAGCCAGCAAATCCCGTTTCGCCCGCACCCACCGCCCAGAGAAGAACTGTAAAATCGCAATTAGACAGTGGGAGAACGGAATGGGACGGAAGGACGAACGCACAGAGGACAGCGGTGAAAGTGGCGACCTTCGGCGAGTGCGGCGCCGTAACTCGACACCAATAAAGTCATCTCATTCGACCGTACTCGAGTATTGCCAACCATCGGCACTTTTTCCCGTCTGGGAGCTAACGCTTACGCAACTATAGGAGCTATGCATGTGCATAGAGCCTAATTCGTTTTTGAGTTTCGATAAAGAATAATCACCGACGACGTTGTTCGATGAGATTCTGATACAGTCAAAACAGCTCGATAAGACGAACATCGACCTTCAGCCCACTTGGGCAAACGTCTTCTTCACGGTGTACGATGAAAAATATAATAGTATTCCGCAACTTCTGACGACCCTTCCAAGGCTGGTACGTCACAGAAACCATCAGGTGTCTTAGTGGAACGGCTAGTTAGGTGACACAAGTGACATTAACGAAGCAAATATTCTTCTTATCGAATATTAACGAAACAAAATTATCTAGTTAAAGTCAGAATCCTAGAAAATCGTTTCAAGAAACGAGGAAAGAAAGAAAACGAAAAATAAAACACTATGTAAATGTTGTTTCCCACTTAGTAAGAAAATGCTCCCTATATTGAACGATGTTAAGTATTAAGCGAAGTTATTTTTCCAAAACTCCGGATTAAACTTTAACCTTGAAAATTTTAAACATGTATATTTAACTGAAAACCGAAAAAAGTTAATTTATGAACATTATAGCGCATTGGTTAGAGGTGCTGTTTAGTAAACTGAAGGTCCTTAGTTCAATAATACTCCATTAGCAATTTTTGTCCTAGAATCATTCCAGGTTCTAAAAATTTGTTCTAGCTTTGTCTGGAAGAATAAGTACACTGGCCTGATACATCGGTAGGGTACCGTAAGTCATAGTGGTGGCCAGCGGTCAATCACCTCTACACTTATAAGAATGGAATCGAATGCATGGCGCATAGCAAAGGTATTGAACGCCTTATCCTATTCTTTGTTCATTCACTGATAAGGTGATATAAGAACGTGATCAAACTGTAATAATGCAAAAGTTATGAAAAGTGTTGTTCTATGGACCAACGACGGAAGTGCGCATTTGAATCTTAGATTCTTAGTGAGTTCCCGTCAACAAACGTATAGAAAATGGCAGCACCATATTCATGTTCCGCTTTTAAAGATATAAAACATAAAAAAGCTCTAGGCTTTGATCAATCCCTGAGGGTTGCGTCATGCATTCGACTTCATTAAGTATCGTTTAGAAATGATTGAATGCATATCTGACCTTTACAATAACTCAAGGTGGCCTACCGATGTAGCAAGCCAGTGCTGCTATCCTCCCAGACATGTCTGGAACCAATTTGCCGACCTCGGAGGGATGGAAGACTTGTTGAGCAGCAGGCGGCAGGGATAGACTCCACGTATGTGTCGCAGTGGCGCCTCCAACCACTATGCTACCCACGCCCCTTTAAAGATAGATAACGATGAATCTGTTGAATTACACCTCTGGATGGACAATATTTGATCCTCGATCGAATGTTTCAGTGCTTGAGGATCTTTACAACAATGAAATGAAACTGGTGGTGGCCATTCATTTAATTGGTCCTCTTAGTCTCGTTGCCAATCAAACTTATCCAACGATGCCCCATCTCCTGAAATGAGCAAGAGATTTTTCAAATAATGTTCTTTCTTTCAGTACTTTTGGTAAGAAGATAATTAATAAGCCCATACTCTTGCTCTTGCTGGGGTTCGCACTGAGATGTTCTACCTCTCAGCTTAGATAGCCCTGCTCCGCTATGATATCTGTGCGGACAGCCAAAAACACACGTTGTAACGGCAGTGGTTGACAAATCATTAAGAAAAACTAGGAATAAAGAAAACATCGCAACTATTAAAAATGACTTAAAAGCGCTAGACCTTTAATAATTTCCTGATCCAGCACTGAAATATCACATGAACGAATTTCCAGTCGTATGCGGAGACGGCGGATCTGTCGAAGTGAAGTGATATCAATTCATCTTCTACCTGATTGCTTTATTTTTCCCACGTAATGATTTCTCCCTGAATTATTTGTATTCATGGCAATAGCTAATTCAAAAAATGTTATAACAAGTGTACGTCGAGCAAAACTATACGCTACACTTAATAAAACACAAAATCTATTTTCGGATGAGTTTGTACGTCAAGCCATAAAGATGGTGATGAAGAAGATACTATGTAGTACTGCGTTGTGCATGAGTTCACCGCGATAAATTGCCTTTTGACTGACAGAGTAATGCAAATGCTGTTAATAATGAAGGCATTATATGCGCTCGCACATGTGAAAGGTAAATCGGCCCATCTGAATTGATTTCAATTCACAGCGCATGCTTTTAAGTGCAAGGAGGAGAATATGGGCGTTTGCAGAAAACATAGCGGATGCACGGTTTTTACAGTAGTATCACTGTAGAATTGCGCGCTTAATCGAGAAACCGAATTGAGATTATCGAGTGGAACCTCACATTGGAATCCTCTATATCTAACGTCATATCACTCACCAAGAAGTCACCGAGTTTCGCCAGCGAGCGAATTCGATTACGGCCCATCAATAGAAACGACAATCAGCTAAGTCGTCGTGGTATGAAAAAATGTGAATGTGCTTTAAAAACACGGCAGCAATCCATTTAGAGTACGTCTAACACTAAGAAGAATTTTAACTTATTATTTACTGCTTACTCTTTTTAACAGCAGGATATATATTGCGAAATATAACTTTAATGATGCTGAAATATTTGCAAAACTCCGGACCGCAGGTGTCTGTGGTGGGGAACGAACGCGCTATTGTCCTTTCCGGAACACGTTCACCATCACACCATGCGGTTCCTTCGTTTCGCCTGACTCTCAGCTAGTTCTATTGATCTTTTGCCATTTTGCATGCAGACACTCATAATTTTTGCCTTAGTGAGTAGATGAGTAAAAATCGATCGTTGGTCAAACATTTATTATCACATAAGTAGTTCAGCAAATAAAAAATAACACAAAATTAACACAGAATTAACGACGGCAGAGTGAAGAAAAAAAACAAATATTGTATGATGAAAAAATATGCATACATGTACAAAATTTTCAAAAAAAAAGGAAGAGATGCAGAGTGATGAGCGTAGGCGGCGAGAGATGAGGCGACTGTGAGTAGCTAAAGCGACGAAGACGATGGCGGACGAAATGAGTCAGGATTTTTACTCAATGACAACCACCGTATTACGTAACGGCTCGACCTCATCTGAGGCTTTTCGTTGTTTTTCTAAAAAAGTCGCATCAGAATGTCAATAGAGAGAGGGAATAGAACATCTAGAAAAACGAAATAAACCACGCCTTTAGAGCTTTTATTTACATCTCTATGGCTTAATGTTGTAATAGCACAAATGTTTGCAGGACTTGCACGCAAACCTGCATGGCTTCATCTTCGTCCTCTTTTTCTAATTGTTTCTTTTCATTTTCTTTGCATGACTTCACTTCGTCCTTGTGAAATAAATCATTTCTAATCCGCGAAAAGCACTAATCCCATAATGTGTGCTTCTCCCCGCTCAGCACACAATGAATGCACAAAGTAGCAAACCTCTTTCCTCCTTCCTCCTCTCCCATTCTCCAAGTGGCACGAACTTCCATAGGGTACAAAAAAAATATTAAAGCGACTAATTTGATCCAAATTAATTGTGAAGCATGGAATACAGAAGGCCATCGTCTCAAAAGTCCGTCTCGAAAATAACGCATATGCTTGGTTTTTCGAGCAATACTAATCAATACCACATTAATACGTTGGAATACTCCACATTATGTGAAGCAGAAGCAAAGTGATGCTGAGATGTTTGCAAAACTTGGACCCCAGGTCAGAATGGAACATGTTATTACCCTTTCCGGGGACTCACGTGTTACCCACAGTACCACTGAGGTTTTCGTTTTGCCTTTCGCTCAGCCAGTTTTTTTCTAGCCTAACGGTGTCATTAAAGGCAGTAGGTAGAAAGTTATACATTATGATTTTAACTTCAGCATCACATTAACTGGGTTCGGGGCCGATTTGTATTCTCCGGATCATTCCTGTCGACGGCTGATTGCTGATGGTACCGTTAGGGTAAAAAAAAAACGATCGGCAGAAACGCAGACCGAGACCATCAATGGTGCAGTGGGTAATATGTGAGTCCATGGAAATGGCAACGGCTGGTTCGATTCTGGCCTATGGTCCACGTTTTGCAAATATCTCAGCATCATTGAAGTTATATTTCGCATAATCTCCTTCTATGGAAAAATAATAGGCAGTAGATAAAAACTCTACCCTATGGAATTCTGAGATATTTGCAAAACTCCGCACCGCAGGTGTATGCGGTGGGGAACGAACCCGCGCTGTTGTCCTTACCGGGGAGCAGCGCACTTCACCACCACACCATCCGGGTCCTTCGTTTTGCCTGTCTCTCAGCTAGTTCTATCGATCTTTTTGTTACAAATCAAAAATCAACTCTACCTTATGTTACAAAAAAATCAACATCAACGACAACAGTAATAACGAAGTAAATGTCAACGATAAGGATTAATATATTTTTAAAAGAAGCAAAATGTACTAATATTAAAGCAAAATTTACATTCACTCGTACTCGAAAACTCCCTATAATTTTTGAATTTTATTCAAAATTCTCTTTTTCTAGGCTTTCTCTTTTTCCAATATATAAATATTAACATATCAGTGAATTTTCTGTGATTTTCATCTGACAGCAAAAAAATTTTCATCTCAAAATGCAAAACCACTTCAGAGCCTCTTGGAAAGCCAATTCGTCCAGTTGGAATGACCCCTTCACTAGATGCTTGAACTAATATTTAAGGTCGAGTTTCAATGAATAAATCACTGAACCGTTTTTTCTGTCTATAGTTTCAACGATTTTCATTCACTTCACAGAGATCACTAAGGTTTTTCCCCGATGTGCAAAAAACTGGAATCTAACACGTGTTCCTAACAGTATCGCCTTCCAACGAGGGTGCAACGGGAACTTCACTAATTCGCGCGTATTAACTGTATACCTTCCTATTCAAGCCTATCGTTGGATCACCTTTAAAGACCCGGTTTACGTCAACGTCGCACTTCAGAGTTAGCAAATATGTTAAATTCATTTAAGGATGATTAACGGTATAATAATCCCCAATAATCAAAGTGATCCTATCAATGCAAGGTAGTTAACTAGCTTTACTATGGTAACTTTTTATTTGCTGCCTACTATAATTTTTTACGGCAGGGTATAATTCGAAATGCAACCACAATCGTGCTGAGATATTTGCAAAATTCCGGAACGCAGGTGTCTGCGGTGGAGAACGAATGCGCTATTGTCCTTTCCGGGGAGTAACGCATTCACCACCACACCATGCGGGTCCTTCGTTTCGCCTGCCTCTCAGCTACCTTTACTCTTATCTGGACTTCCGAATGAAACTGTTGAAATTTTTTTGACTTGTGCCCAAAGTGGGCAAGAGATGAACTATTTCCAGCACACTATAATTCGATCCTCAAAAAACCTCGATGAAGCTGCCAGTGAAGCGGGAAGCCATTAATATGGTTCAAACATATTACAATGAAAGAAAATGTATTGTAAGTGTATTGTGGCTCAAAAATAAGACCATGTCATCATGTACCACGTATGTTCAAAGTGAAGAAAAATTATGAACGGTGCCTCTCAGCAAGTTTCGAACAGTGATTTGAACGACTTTAGAGCGACGGCGTCGTAAGAAAACATAGAGACGAGAGATGAACGAATCAGCAAGAACTAGTCATTTTTTTCACTTTCACTGGCCTTGTGTCATACCATTTAGATCACAATAAGGAGATTTAAACCACTAGTAAATTAGCAAATTACATTAATGGTTAGGTGATTGAATGGTGATTTATACGTTTGAAACATCTGCAAAAGAATTTATAATTCAAAAGAAAAACTTATAACTTAAAACTCATAGAAATATCGACTTCTAAAACATACAGCAGGATGCCGAAAAGTGGCTAAGCTCCATTTTTCATAGAACGCATATTTCAAATCAACTCTGAACAAATACGGTAGCATTCTATAAGCTTGCTCTAAATGACCAACAGTTAGCACTTTATTTCGCCCCTCTGGTTTTGTGGGACAAATATAACCACAAATGAATAATACAGTAAAAAACTTTATTCTTCTATCTCGGAAAAAAGTGACAACACAAGTAAACGACTTTCATAATATTTCGGGACATTGACGAATAAGCAAGGGATGAAAACAGAAGTGAAAGTAAGAAATTGTATAGCTGTATAACTGCATCACTACTCATTACTTTTTCAGTGTTTCAGAAAACATAGAGATCGAATAAAAATCGATTAACTCGCCCTCTCTATATTTGTCGGTGCATTGGTACCGCAAAAAATATGTTAATCAGAAAAAAAATCGGTATACGTACCATTGATTTTTCGTCGTAGTTCCTCGAGTTTATTGAGGTATTGTGAGTCCCGCGATTGTTTGTATTCATCAATTTTCCATTCCAAATTTGAACTCCAACATAAAGAAATATAGCCACAAAAACTGATACCCGACTGAAATAATGTTGATCAATTGAAGAACGACCATATCGATTTATTGGTCCCATCGCAAAACCAGATAATTCAGAACATCATCTAACGTATTCAAACGTTTACAAAAAACCTAGTGTCAATTCATCCGTTAGATAAACTTCGTAAGTAATCTGATTTTCATCGAATTACAGTCATATTGTTCTTATATTCCACACAGCTGGGTCTCATATAAATCTGGGATGAGCGATACGGTAACCAGTATCACTTCATACTTCATTTGCATACTGTAATGGGGTCAACTTTGGGGATGAGCGTGTTAATGTATGAAAATGAGCGACAGGTGTAATGGTGTTCGGTTTTGTTCTTTCTCTTAAAACGAGTTTAACCCATAAAAGAAAGCTATTTTAAAAAAAAGAAAGAGCATGGTGATTCTTTGATTTTGTAGCCGTTGCCTTTGGAGGAGTCTGAACTATAACAAGGACCTAATAAAAATAAGAAGCGATTTTCGACTTTAGGATCCTGTCGGACAGTTGGACAGCTACTCATACCTCCCCATTAACAATTTCTATGACTGAAAGCAGAAAATTCACTGCTTACGGACTCTCAAAGCGAAGAGAACTTGTCCAGGTTATAAAAAGCCAGACGGTAAAATTATTAGCATCAGAAATAACGAAAGTACGATGTGGTATTTTTGTCACATACCTAACAGAATCTGCTAGAAAGCCACTTAACGATTTCAAATTTATTAAAAGTCGAAAAAAAGTAAATGTAGTATGGATCAGCATAAAAATTCGACACCAACCTTAACATGAGCATACATGGCCATGAAAAAGCTAAAGAAGAAGAGAATAGCGGCAATGAGGGTTACAGTACTGAGCAGATTCTCAACGTCTTCACGATGCAGAAGTTCGTTCGTCGACGTCGTCAGCTCTGTTGACGTCGACATCACTTCGGACAATGGCAACGGTGATGGTGTTGTTCTAAAAAGGAAAAAAAAAGATGAAGACAAAGAAAAATCCAATAAAAGAGGAAATGAATGGTAAATACCGCGAATTGTAACGAATATTTAGTAAAACACTGATAAAATCTCCAAGACACCAAGGCAAATGCGTAAAGTCAATTCGATTTACTTTGACTTCAATAAAAACAGCCATAAACTAATAAATGATGAAAAAATAAGGAATAAGGTGGGAATAAAATAAAAAATACTGAGTTACAATAACGATAGTAATTAAAAAAGAAATAGAATGGCAAAAAGTAGAAGTAAGTTTGCATGACAAAATAAAACCCACAACTACCAGAGACATAAATAAAGAAATATTAAGAAATCCTCACAAAAGCTATCCCTCAACTTAATTTTCTCTTTCAAAACGAGTAAAACAAGACAAAGTTAAAAGAATACAAAAAATAACGAATTACACCGAAATAAGGACGCAAATGGCTCATATGCGACTCATAAGGTCCATTCTATTAACAAAAACAAAAAAAAAACACTTCGGAAAACATATAAATAACAGAGTGGCATTTGTTTTTTCTTTTTAAGAGAACTCATTCCAATGAAATTTAAGTATTAATTACAAATGTTAAAAAATACTCACTTATTAGAATGAGTTGAATACGATTTTTCCAACTGAAAGCATATTACGGTAGCCAATGCTGAGAGTATCATCAGAGCCAGTGCACACACGAGCAGCGTGTAATACCGTATATCGCGATCGGAACAGCTCGGAAGTTTGATCTCTTGGTACTGCAGAAAAATCAATACGTCGGTCCGCATGCTTTGCATAGAAGGTTATCAATGCATTTTCTTGTGATTTTTTTTTGGATTGATATACCTTTCATTCATTATGTTACTATTTCATAACAATTGATTGCTTTATTGTCGAGCGCAAAAAGCTGTTGGAAACTTTCATACAACAGTTGGCGACTTCTGATGAGGAAATGGTAGGAAACCCATTAAATGAACCAATATATTGAAATCTGTACTTATACTTACTCAATACTTGAATAGCCCGTCCTCAATGGTTGTGCGGGCTCCAGCATAATCTCCACATTTCGGAGATTTACCGGTTAAGCCATTGTGGTTTCCTGGAATCCCGAGGTCAGTCTGGCCAAAGTCTGCCCTAGGTCTTCAACACTATAGGCAGTCACAACCCTTGTGGATCAGAGAGAGATTTGCCGCCATGCAACTTTGATACTAGGACGGTGGTGGATCGGAGCCTGGTATTGGATTACACTTATCTACGCTTCCTGCTGGAAAAGCCGGACCTCTTCTCAGTTTGGGAAACCCTGTCAGTGGATGGATTCCCGCTGTACATCGCAGTCCGACACCCAGGAATACCTCCCAACCACGACGAGGCGGTAAACCTCTGGGAGGAAATCTGCACTTAAATATTTAATTCCAACATCTGATGAAGCGATTATCTTGGTTCAAATTCGTTTTGCATTAAAATAAACAATCGAAAAGGCATTTGTCGTTCGGTGTTTTCAAATTTCTGTCTGTTTTATATCTCTTCTTTTTTTTGGGGAAAAACTGTTATTTCAAAGCACTGTGAGTACGTATACAGTACGAGATTTTTCGACATCTTGAGCGACGAAAGGAGAAAAAACGTAAAAAGGCATTTAAAAGATGGCAGAAGAAATGAAGCATGTCGATTGTAGTCTGCATAAAACCATCCTCGATTTGAGAAACAGTACTGACTCCTTCAACACATGATGCTCACAAAATCTTCAATGATTAGAGCAGTTGAGGGATTGCGAGCATGACTGTAGAAAGGAAGACTTGCTCTATCGCCTTATCTACTGAATCTACTATTTACCATATGTTACCCTGATCGGAGGGCGCACGTAGAGCAGGGGTCAGAGGTGCGCTCCTGAGATCGATCCGCGCCTCCAGGTACACAAAGCCCTCCATCCCTCCGGGGTCGGCAGTTTAGTGCCAGACTTGTCTGGAAACATAGTAGCACTGGCTGATACATTGGCAAACCACCGCAACTCATTGTAAAGGGCCAGATATGTATTCAATCACCTCCAACAATGCTTAACGAAGTCAAATGCATGAGACATCATGGATTGATCAATGCCAACAGTTTTATCCTTTATTATTCTTACCATAATTGATCATCTAAACACATTTCTCTCAGCACATGGAACGGTTCGGGATTTCTGCCGTGCCTACAGATTCTATCCTACAACTACAATTCATTACGTGATTATAACTGAAATAAAAGCCAAATATTAGAGAAATTACCGGTCAATGAACTCGTTCGAGAAAGTATTTTGCATATTTCTAACTTCAGAATACAGTTTTTCCAGGCTAATTCCGCCTCAACATCAGAGTTGGATAAGCTACCGGTTTATGAGAAGAAGTATAGGAAAAGAGTTCCGTGTGGCAAAATATCGGGAAAATGACGAGCATAGAGGTCGTACTGGCCACTTAAAGCGATATTTTTTCTCCACTGTCTAAGCACAAAATTAACAATGCAATAGGGTTCCCTTTTGCAATTGAGACCAGCGTTCTTCAATTCTTATGTTTCTGTTTTCTCCTCCATTTTTCTTATTTAAAACATTCCATTTTATTCCAGTCTAGTCTATATTATTCTATTCCACTCTTGTACTCTCAATACGTTGAAATAACCACACAGGAAGATTTCCAAAATACCCATCACCATGTTCGAATTTAAAATTTTTCTAAACATTTTATACTCTAAAAAACTACTTTCTTCCTTCATCAATTCTTCCAGACTCGCTCCTCTCCTATTTATCTTTAATAGATTTTTTTTAATTCTTGAAGAAATCTCTTTTCAGCAAACGAACTGATATTTTGCGCTTTGAAAACTCTTAAATAAGGCATAAAGCGAAATAGTCAAAGGTTCTCCACAATATACGAAGGATCTATTTATTTATATGATCATATAAGCTGATCTTCTTAAGCTGATGTGAGGTTGTCGACAACAAAGACCTATACCAACCTCGCATCAGCTTAACAAGATCAGTTTATAAGACCATATGAATAAATATATCAACTATCTATGCCGAAGTTTGTAGAATGTCGGTATTTTGAGTTATGCAAATGATTGATTGTCAGTGTTATACAATGTTGGTACAATTTCGCACCCTGGACAAACGAAGCGCTTCATCTGTTCAGAATCGTGAATTGTCGCCAAATTTGTTTGGAGGGTTAAAAAAAACATTGACACCATTAATGGGCCATTGCAAATCGTTGTGTAGAACAAATAACTACACAACCACTTTACGATGCTACGAATCGTACCGAATTAATGAGACATCCGCTACTGCTGGTTCAACGTTCAACTCTTAACCATCATTAAACCATTCATCATTCATTGTTCATCACTAGGAATAACAAAACACTTCTGTCTTATGTCCAAAGGCATACTAATTTAGAAGCATTAGAGTTTTTCTAAAACGGTTATTGGCCAGCCTCATGCTCCTGACGAAAAAAAATTGAAAACCATTAAGAATCCCGGCTTGTGAGAAATTTGCTGGCATTCTCCATCAATGTATCGCTCTTGACAAACCTATTCGATATTTTCATTTTGCTTTATTGCTGCTTTCTCCCACTTCACTCCATGTTTTTAGCGATGTTTTCTCAAAGAGAAGCCCTTATTCAGGGATTTCTAGTGTTTAAAACTTACTCTCCCCTTCGTAAACCAATTTAAGCCATGTTTTTTTCTCTGCTTGCTTTTCCTTTTTTCTGTTGTTTTAAGCTGAGTTTCTTGTCGAAATGAATGAAATGTGATACTCATAAATTCATTTAATCACCGTGCATATCCTATGGGACCTCAAAATATACCAGAAATAAACGGAAAACCAAAAAGAAGAAAAGTACGAGAAAAAAGCTCCAAGATAAAACGAACCTTCAATACTCGCCTTCTCCTATATTTATACAGACATAGTTCACATACGGCTGGCCGATGCAACTTTCGCGATGAAATATCCAACCAATGCTATAAGAAAAATCAATAAAATCTATTTTAAAAAAGCTAGATACTCCCTCCTAAAGAGGTCCATCGTTTGGAGGCTAGTTAGTGGTGCTGAATATCAGCAATGATGATGGGCAGCTGCTATTTATTCAAATTATAAACTGTATGACGAGAACAAAACTGTACTAAACTATACAATTTCCATACAGCTTTTCTAACGATTCTTTGTTTCGCAACCACTATCCCTCCCGCCCAACGGTTCGTCGCCTCATCACAACTGCGAGATCTTCTCCAGGCGTCGAACTGCGATGTAAAGCGAGGTCGTTCTCCCTAGCAAGGTCACCAAATTTACGAGCGTTAAGAGTTTCCACCTAGAATACCAGATAATAGTAGGCTAGAGTCAGCAATCATTTCTTATCTGGTAATACTGGATCCCAACGGATAATCGATGATGAACATTAAGAAGCTCCTCTCTGCTTTCCACTGGGGTACCCAAGCCAATAAGTAGTTCATCATTTGCATTCAAATGCCCAATTGGTGATCCTACGCCTAATAGCGTTCGGCTACCTACTACAAGCCAACTCTTTCCTAAACCACTTTGAAAAAAATGAGCACCATTTCAAAACGATGATCTCCATCATTTCCCTTCAAGAAAGGAGCCCAATGAGCAGCTTTTGCTGTACAACGCGGACAAATACAGTTTACTTGAATTTACTCGATGATTAACACCTTTTGTGATATTTTTCGCGCCAGTTCTTTACTTAGTCACCGAGTTCTAAGATATGAAAGATTTTAGCCGTCTGGAGGACTGAAGAAAGAAAAACACTGGTGAAGGATGGGCTTGAACGACTTCTTACTGGTATCCTGATATCCACTCACCTACATTAGATGCTCTTCGACTACACAATAAACAGAATTCTATAAAAGAACGAAGAATCACAAATAAATGTCATTATTTCCAACTAATGTGTACGAGATTAAAAAATAAGATAAAAAAGCTTTGTAAAAATAGCAAAGAACAGATTGCATACTTACCATTAAACACGAAACATGAACATATTGTAAAGATCCAGAGCACCGGCACGGTGATATTAGTGGATCCGAAGCGTCTGCAGGCCAACAACAATGGCAGATTCGACAAAGCGGTTCACTGCATGAAAGATCCGACGGCGCCAACGAGTACAGTGACGGTAACGATGGCGAGCCATGCTCCTGCAGGAACGGAAACGTGAACTTGCGCTGCGAAAGCCCAATAATAGAGACTTTTTAACCTTACTGCTCCAAAACAAGATTGTTTGAATAGTTGTAATCTTTTGTATCCAAAAAGTATAACATTTCAAATTCGTGGAATCGCGGTTCACTTCTCACATAGTGGTCATTCTTCAAACGAGTTAATATCAACGTACAATTCATTTTGATCATTTCACACGTACAGTTCTACTTTTTTAGAGAATTAAGCATATAAACTTCTAATTACAGTAACTTGGAAACGATATCATCTTCACTTCGACGAAATTGTTCTTTTAAAACGAAGCAGAAGCCATGTGAGACAGATGCTGGTCGACTTCGGTAACGTTTGTGAAAACATTGGCCTTCGACTGAACTTCAAAAAGACAATGTTCATGAAGAATGAATTGCCCTTGATGTTTCGTTCATACTAAATGGAATGAACATTTGTTTATGAATGCTTCAACTACATGTATCTGGGACAAGAAGTGAACGATGAACGACTCAGCACCATAAGACAGTAAGAGAAATTGGACTTTGGAATATTTCAAGAACATGAGGATATAGTAAGGTGAACAAAGAACATTCGAGGCCTTGTCTACGTTTTGGACATTGCGACCTTTCTTGTCTTAAAGTACAACTTGAGGGCCTTGAGGGAACGTAAGCAGTATGAAAGATCACTCAAAGAACGTGCAGTCATGAGGACGACGTTGGAGAGAATCTCGTGTCATGCAAGTAAAAGAAGGAACCTGAACCTCTGCCCCACGTCAAAGATCGAAAACCAGGATCATCGCTGTTACAGTCAGAACGTCGAAAATCAGGTGGGCTGAGAACGTGATACGTTCCGACAACAACAGGTATGACAACAACCGTCAACGCCTTGTTCCCACGAGATGCGAAATGCACAACTGAAGGCCCCTCGACACGACGGTCCAGAATTGTTTACGGAAAATCTAGACAAAGAATGTGATGTTCAGAGTGAACATGGAAAGCTGGGAAGCTCTTGAAAGCAACAGAGTCAAATGGAAATCATATTATTACCTTCCGAAATCATTTGATGAGCAAAGGAAAGGGAAATAATAGTGATTGGTAATTACGGTAATTTAGAGGAAAACGAGGTTAATCATACTCATGAGGCTATTTTCATGATATTTTCCAAAAAAAATTGTAGACGTCCAATTGGTAGAATTTGAATACGGTGATTTGCCGCCATGATGTCATTAAGAGGCCCAGCCTAGTCCTATTGATTTCAGTAAGGCGGTCGGAACGTAATCAATAGACTCAAAAAAAGTGGATTCAATAAAATCATCAGAAACAAAGAATTCTTTCAAACATAATGTGTCCGATTTTGTTTAAGAATACCATAAACATACCCATTGGTGGTTGAAGCCTTTGGACACAGCTAGCACAATGGTTATAGGTGTCCTATAGTCGTTGGTTCTATATCGGTACCTGGACTAACCAAATCTACCATCCTTACAAGGACGGGAAACTTATTCAGACTTGTTTGAGAGGGAGAAACACACTGGCTCATAGAAGTCAAATATGCATTCAATCATTTCTATGGTACTCTGAATAGACTCTAATTCATAGCGCATCCCTAAGGAGTTGACTAGTTCTAAACGCCCCATGCTTTTTGTCCCTTGAAGTACTGGAGGAATGGTGAACTTGAAAGACTTCTAGAATAGACTCTGGCTTACTATAAGTTTCCTGCGGGTTCCACAAAACATCGTTTTCATATTTACACTTTCTACAAGATTTAAGAAATGGTAATAACAAAGGATCATCGACAACCAAAAGTTTCAACGAATTATTTAAGAACAACACTCTACGAGATCTGACGAAATTCCGCTTGTTCGATCGTTTCGATATTCAAAATATGAGCCTCGATGAAGAGCAAAGTGAAAAATGTTTTATAGCTTCTACAGAAACCAGAATTTTACCTTCACGCCTAAAAAAATTAAACGAAGAAAAGTCCACAAATTTGCATGTAATTGGCGATGATTTGCAGATTCCCATTGTTTTCATTTCAATGAGTAGACTTCACACCGAGCTGCGATATGTTTACTTTACTGCAAAAGGGCAAATTTGGCGCTTAAAAGTCACACATGGTTAGTTTTGTTGCGAATTTCCTAAAATATATCTGTGAATAATAGGAGGATCAATAACTGCTAGATAGCATCATTTAATGTGATATAAGTCATATACGTATACGTACGTATATATATGTATACATACACGTATATATACGTCTATACATGCACATATACATGTATATATATATATATATATATATATATATAATATAACTTATGAAAGTCATAAAAACGTTCCATTCATACGCCATTGCACAGATTGAATGAAGGCAGATTTTTGGAAAAGACCACTCAAAACAATGACTTCTTTTTTCCAATGACTATTTGCCTAAGCAATACAAGCAATCGTTCTCCAGCCCAGAATCGTTTTTTACACCATAACACCCTGAGTGGATAAGGGGTAGTCTCGCTTGATAGTGAATGCGATGTACCGCCAGAAAGGAGGTTCAAACCACCATCAGTAGCGTCTCCCAAGTTGAGAACGGGTTCCTATTCGCAAATCACAGCCAAGGGTAAACCACTGTGTTGCATAGGGGACCACTGTTATCGTGGCACAAAAACACCGTCGCTAACTGGCCAGTAAGCACGCTGTCGACCTGCAGTGGAAGAGCTGTAATGGTATTATGGCTACTGGCATGGGTATCTCCAGAACGATTCCAAACAATAAAAATCTTGCTAAGCTAAAACCAGCAAATTAGGGTACAACTGAACGTTGTGTTGAGATATCCACGACCTGTAACTTACGAAGAGAGGAAGGCCGGTCGTTTAAATGAACAACTCAATTACTGAATGATTCATTTACGGATAGTATCTCGTGATGATGTACCTCATAGTTAAGTAGTACGGTTGGGTTCCCAGGGAAAACCACGCTCGTCCAGCACTCATTATGTTAACCAGAAGAAAAGACGACAGATATTTAAGTAGAAGGCGAACCCACGACCGAATCTGAGCACCTTATTGTGGACTGCGTTTAATGGAACGAATAGAAGAAGTGTTGAAACCCGTGCCATATACGAAGATGGACAATATATGTATCTAAGTAAGTAAGAACAATATGATAAACTGACAAACCATCTTCGACTTGATCAGATGACGATGAATGAGCCGTACGGGGAGTGATGAACGACGAATGACACAACACGATGCCACCACCTGGTCACAGCATTGTACTAGGTGTTTGCATTCGCGTGCGCGCCAAACAATTCAAGGACGATTACAGCGGTCAAATCACCGTCCGTTTGAAGTCGTATCTTTGAGAAATTGTAGCGCTCAATTCAATTTGAATATGGAAAATATCCACAAAGGAGGTCTATAACTAATTAGTCCTATTTTTTATTAATAAGACACGTCATTAAACAATCGGCAGATTCCAACACTTCTTTCATTCGATTCTTTTTCATGCACTGTCATCCAAAAATGTGCCCAAACTTATGCATTAGTTCTAACAGCTTTCCCTTGACAAGCCTAACATCAAAGTCCTGACTCAAAAGGGATGACGGACTCAGTTAGCTTGGAACGTCGAGTCGAACCAGTGTTGGCATCTCTAATCTCTGAGCTACCCGCTGTATCATAGTTGATGGATAAAAATAATAAACATAAGGTATTAACATCTCTCAAGCTTCAAAAGGTACCTAGTTAATTTCTATCCATATCGGCATAGTTTCAAATACATTTTTTCCTTTCTTTACATTGGGATGCGTGCAAGCGGATAGAATGCCCGCGATACACACATGGTCGTTTGCTCAATCCTACACCCACCAGAATCCGAAGTATCGTACCTACAGGGGGGTCGAACCGTTACCAGACTTGTCTGCAAGAATAAAAAGCACTGGTATGACATATTTACAGGCCTAAAAAGGTCACTGTATAGGAGGAATATGCATTTTATCACCTCTAAATGCTACGAATAAACTTGAATGGATGGCATATCTCTATCGTAGCACATCAACGTTGAATGCCTTATCTTTTCATTACTTCATTGGCCCACTAGAGAATGTTGACACTTCATCCTTACATAGAACCTTCTGCTAGAACACGACGTATGCTTACACACACGTACACAAGTATACACCCATAAATATATAGATATATTTGTAAACATGGATATATGTATGTGCTTTAACACTTTTCCTAAAGAAATGGCTAATTCTGGAACAATAGCAAGCCTTCGCTTAACTAGAAGTCGAACCAAACAAACACGATACGACGTGAGCATCACAATCATCTAATCGCGTACTACGCTACATATTTTAAACAAATAACAATAATAATGTAATAAAAGCAATAAAAATAACTCTAATTGCTTTTATTCAGACGGATACCTTACCTGTTGAGCTTTCGGACACGGTAAATCCGTCATAGAACAGTGCTGACATAAAACTCCTAGTTGTGAAGGTGCTTTCATCAAGTACGATTCCATGTCTAATGTAAAATCTGGAATATCCATCACATAGATACATTTATATACCAGAATATTAAACAACTGCTAAGTTTAAACATGCGCGGAATGAAGCTCTTAAAATCAATAAAATTAATGAAAAACAAAAAGAACTACATGAAACGTAACAAGGAACGCTCATAAGATGAATTCATAATAAAGAGCTAAAATCTTTCATTAAGACGTCTATTTTTAGCTCCCCCTCCCACTTTAACACCATATGAGCGCTAGTGGTTCAAAGTTTAGTTATTAAAACTGAAAATTTTAAAAAATGCTATTAAATAGGAGCCGATCAATAGCAAGAGAAATCAAAAAAAAAGGCAAATGTCGTGATGCGTCTAATTTGATTGAATTCTAAAGGATCGATGAATAAAAAAAACGACGACGAACAGCTCTGGATTGTTAAGCACGTTTCCAGTGATATTCTAAAAGTTCATGTCGACACTTTTTATCAGGTGTTCCTATATAATTCGCTCCTCCCAACGCTTTAGTGCCTCACCGTGGTTGGAAGGTGTACCTGAACATCGGGCTGCTATGTACAGCGGGCGGAATTCATCCTCCAGCAGGGTCTACCAAGCTGAGAAGGAATCCGGCGTTTCAATTAGGAAATTCAGCTAAGAGTAGATCAATACCAGGATCCACCCACCATCCTGGTATCAAACTAGTCGCATGATGGCAAACCTCCCTCTGATCCACAAGGGCGGCGACTACCTGTGGTGGTGATGACCAGGAGCAGACTATGACCAGGCTGTCCTCGAGACTTCAAGGAACCACCATGGCTAAACCAGCAAATTTCCGAAGAACACAAGTTATGCTGTGGCCCGCACTACAATTAAAGACGAGCCATCCAACTATCCAAGTAAGTAAGTAGATAATTCGACATGATGATAACTATTTTCTTCCCGATAGAGACAGTTACGGAAATGAACTATAACTTTTGCATGCCAAAACATCAAAAAATCGATTGTTTACAACAATGTACTGATATGTATACTCCCCGGAAAAGACAACAGCGCGTTCATTCCCCACCTAGACACCTGCGGTCCAGAGTTTTGCAAATATCTCAGCAACGTTGTGGTTGTATTTCGCTTAGTATTCTGCCATGAAAATTGCAGTAGGCAGAAAATAAAAGGTAAAACATTGTGATTGCAACTACAGCCTTAGCTTAACTGGATTCAATGCCGATGCGGACTCGCCAGATCAATCCCGTTGACAGGTGATTGCTGATGGCAAAAAATCGATAGAACTGGCTGAGAGGCATGCGAAACGAAAGACTCGCATGGTGTGGTGGTGAACGTGTTACTCCCCGGAAAGGACAATAGCGCGTTCATTCCCCACCTAGACACCTGCGGTCCAGAGTTTTGCAAATATCTTAGCAACGTTGTGGTTGTATTTCGCTTAGTATTCTGTCGTGAAAATTGTAGTAGGCAGAAAATAAAAGGTAAAACACAATGTATTGAGTAGATCACTTCATCGATCGACAATAAACAGTGGTGACCGTAAGATAATGAGAGCGCTCGTTATAGGTCGGCAGAGACCTTGATCCTGACTATTCGTAGCTTTTGTCGTTTTTTTTTTTGTTTTTTTTTCCTCGTTGTTATGTAAGACATTATTCCCGAACGACAGAGCGCTAGGGATGAACGAACGGCAGTCGGCGGCAAAACAGTTGATGTGCTTTTACAACATCAACCAAAAAATCTCTCTGGATTGATCGAAATGGTCTCGTCACTCTTTAAAGCAGACAAAAGACTGAAGCATTTTCAACATTTTCGATTTGCAAATACATAAGTTACAGTATGCCTAGGTTGCAGTGTCAATATAAAAATTACAGTATACCTGAGTTACAGGACTTCCTTTGTTGTCTAATATTGACTATACAAATTGCTTACAGGACTTCCTTTGTTGTCTAATATTAACTACACAGGTTGCTACAAAAAAAACGATAATTGATTTGTACGTACGTTTATCATATGAAAGGGGTAAAAGTGGCCGGAAGAAATCGTTGAGAAAGGGGTTCTCATCATAAACAACTGATTCTGAAGATTCTAACGATTCAGGAGAGATCACAGCAAAAACGACGAAGCCAACGTTGGATAGGAGCAGACGGGGTATCGCATCGTTACATAACAAGAGAACCAGTACAAATATCGTAAATGAATACCGAACAATGATCAAGATATAACCACAATGTTGCTGAGATACTGGCAAAACTCCGGACAGCTGTTGTCTGTGGTGAGGACCGAACACGCTATTACCCTTTCCGGGGCTAACACGTTCACCACCACACCATGCGGGTCCTTATTTTCGCCTGTCTCTCAGTCTTATTGACCTATTAGCGCTATCAGTAATCACACATCAAGGAGATTGATCTGGGGAGCACAAATCGGCATGAACCCAGTTAAGCTGAAGCTATGGTGTAAACCAGTAAATTTTAGCAAATTAGTAAGGCAGTAAATAAAAATTGACGACATTGTGATCTAGATATATTTTGTAGATATTCGAAAGTTCGTCTGGTTGCTTTTTTCGCTTCAGTAGTTCTGTTTCACCGGATTGTTTCCTACTGTTTCAAAAACTCGATTTTCACTACACCTTAGCAATAGATGACCAATACACAGGAACAGGTAGCACAGTAATAGTGCTCTCGTTCACTATGCAGATGGCTCAACCTAACCAGGCCCTGGTTCGACCCCGCGCCGGGTCGCCCAAGCTTGTCATTCGCACTGGGTGGGAAACTGACAAGAGACTTGTCTGTAGTTCGTCAGCTTTCTCCATTCCATGTGGTAATCCCAGGATAGCTCTAGAACCGAAATCCAGGAATGCAGGGAGAATCAGTTCGATCAACATTCATAGTGAAGACGAAAATCAGCAACCGAACGCATACACAAAAAGCACGAAGACGCATATGGATAGAAAGAAAAAAATCGAACGATGGAAGTGATGGTATCTGCAGAGTGTGATACATATGATGTCAGGTAATGTAACAATAATAGTAAAACTGGATGATAATGGATGCAGTGGCTGGAAGTGTGCTCCAATGCACACGTATTCGTTGTTCGATCAACTGTCCCGCGTTAAGCAAGACTCTCATCTCTCCGGGGTCGACAAATTGTTACTAAACCTGTCTGCGAGGATAAAATTCTCTGAAATGACACATCGGTAGGTTATCGGAATTCATTCAACACGTCAAATATGCATTGAATCGCTTCTAGGATGCCGCGAGTGCAGTCGAAATGCACACCAGTGAAAGGCTGCAGTAACCAGACTTGTCAACTTTTTCAAAACACGTGCTGAGTTATCAATACAGTAAAACTTTTTTATTTCTGAAATAATGGAATCACCCTGGAAGATCTGACCTATATTCGGTTGCAACCACTGCTTTTCTATTGTTGAGCGAACAAACCCATTGAGCACTCAACTTTACGAGAAGTACACCAAATCCGACAGCGCAGACCAGAAACCCGATCGTGTAATTTTACCTGATCGATCAATATTCGAAGCTATGACTATGTTTTCAAGTTTTATCAGAATCTCTTATTGAGATTAAAAAAAACACTCGGCGTTGATCAATCCCTGAGGGATGTGCCATGTACTCGACTTCATTGAGCATCACCTGGAGGTGAATGAATACATATCTGGCCTTTACAATGACTCGCGGTGGCTTACCCATGTGTCGAGCCGGTGCTGTTATCCTCCCAGACAAGTATGGTACCAAACTGTCGATCCCGGAGAGAGCGAGGGTTTGGTGGGCCAGCGACGCATGGATCGACCCCGTGTGTATGTGGCAGGGCGCCTTCAACAAATGTGCCACAGGCGTCCTTCCCTATCCTACCAAGATACAAAAAAAAAAAACACGAATCAATTTGTTTTCCTATGAAAACGACGAGAACGTACGGTGCAGTGGTAAGTGCTGCCCATGCGATGTGCACGGTGTTTGGTTCAGTTCCGTGTATAGGCAATTAGGCAATCTAATATGTCCCTTTAAACAAGCAGAGAGAAGGAAAGAGAAAGAGAGAGGGAGATAGGAAAGGAATAGACAGAAGGAAAGAGGAAAGAGTGATACTTAGACCTTTGTTGTTTTTGTTGCCGTTTTCTTCTTCAAAAACGATCTCACGCCTTATGTAGAGAACTGATTTTGTGCTTTTATCATTACATTAGAAGGTTGCTCTCTTTTAGAATTAGAAAACATACTAGATGAAGAGAAATAAACGAGGAAAAACCGACTGAATATAGAGTAAAAAAGAACAAAGAGATGATAAATGACGATGATCTAAGACAGAGAGGAAAGGAAGATGGAAAAATATCGGCGAAAGAATGGGAAAAAAAGGAGAGATCCAACAAAAAGGTGGGTCTATTAAGAAAATCCTCTTTCAACTTATTCATAAGTAAAGAACTGGTTCATGATTTAAGTACAACGACAAATCCTCTTCCGCACTGTCAACCTAGTTTAAGCCATTATTCCACCTGTAAACACAACATCACCGGTACCACTACAACTCCATATAGTTGCTTATGTAGATGTCTATTTTCTGGAAGGAAATCAGTTAGTGTGGTTATTCTTTATCTGAGTTTCTACATTAAATATCCTAAAAAGTTAACAATAATGTGAACTATATATTGTCAACATATATCTATTCACTTTATTCTCCTCTTAAAATTGGGTGATAAAAGGAAAAACTTGAAACAAATCATTTTGTCCTCAACCCAAAAAACTTTGGACTTGTGCTTTTGCCTTTGTCATCTTCTTTTCACGGATTTTATACCTTATTTTCTCGCCAATTTTTAATTAATGCGGTTGAATACATGATAACGCCAAAAAAGTAAAGCTCTTAGCGTTGATGAACCCCAGAGAGATGTGCCATGCATTCGACTTCGTCAAGCATCGTTTGGAGGTGAATGAACTCATATCGGGCCTTCTACAATGACTTGCGGTGGCTTATCGATGTGTCGAGCCAGTTCTGCTATCCTCCCAGACAAGTCCGGTACCAGTTTGCCGACCCCGGAGAGATGGA